CCCTCACTCGTCCCGCTCGCTACAGTAAACATGACTCGTGCCGTTCTCCCGCGGCCCTCACTCGTCCCGCTCGCCACAGTAAACATGACTCGTGCCGTTCTCCCGCGGCCCTCACTCGTCCCGCTCGCCACAGTAAACATGACTCGCTCCGTTCTCCCGCGGCCCTCACTCGTCCCGCTCGCCACAGTAAACATGACTCACGTTGTTCTCCCGCGGCCCTCACTCGTCCCGCTCGCCACAGTAAACATGACTCGCGCCGTTCTCCCGCGGCCCTCACTCGTCCCGCTCGCCACAGTAAACATGACTCGTGCCGTTCTCCCGCGGCCCTCACTCGTCCCGCTCGTCACAGTAAACATGACTCGCGCCGTTCTCCCGCGGCCCTCACTCGTCCCGCTCGCCACAGTAAACATCACTCGCTCCATTCTCCCGCGGCCCTCACTCGTCCCGCTCGCCACAGTAAACATGACTCGTGCCGTTCTCCCGCGGCCCTCACTCGTCCCGCTCGCCACAGTAAACATGACTCGTGCCGTTCTCCCGCGGCCCTCACTCGTCCCGCTCGCCACAGTAAACATGACTCGCGCCGTTCTCCCGCGGCCCTCACTCGTCCCGCTCGCCACAGTAAACATGACTCGCTCCGTTCTCCCGCGGCCCTCACTCGTCCCGCTCGCCACAGTAAACATGACTCGCGCCGTTCTCCCGCGGCCCTCACTCGTCCCGCTCGCCACAGTAAACATGTGGAGTTGTTGTCTTTCATCCACATAAGCCAAAAATACATTTTCTGGCTTTTCTCAGTCTAGAAAGCTCCAAATTCAAAAATAATTTCACATTTCTTCTACATTTTTATGAAGTATCCCTTTAAAATTACATACATATCTACATAGAATAGAAAACATGCATGACGACATTTCTGCAAAATGATGTAACATTGCTTCCTCCATGTTTTGTGACACTTTCAAAGTGAAATGCCCAGCATGATCAGTTTTATCTGTGTGAATCTGGGTGTGTTTAATTACGTTGGTTGTTGTACGTATCATGGCAGTTCAGAAAAGAAGTTCAGTGAGTGAGAGGCACTACAAGGTTAATGATCTCGTTTGAAAATAGCGAAGCACCTAAACTAAACCCGATCCTGAACCTAACCGATAGTGTTGACAAAAGCCAACATGAGAGAAAATCACATTCTCTGAAGGAACAATGCCATTTTAGCTTGCCTCTACAAGTCTCTGAGCTCTTTTATCGTGACTCATGTTTCACAGGACTGTAATATTGTACTAGGTGAGCTACCGAGCAAGTTTTCTATGGTAGAAAAGATGCAAATGTGATGCTAACATCAGAAACCATGCACGTGGTAAAAGGCCATAACATAGTATTTTATAATGAATTGCATAAAGTCTTTATTTATCAGTTCTGCTTCTGTGATCATAAATTGATTAAAGATGTTGGTGTTTTACTGTCTCTACTGTTCATTTCAGTTGAAAACTGCACTGAACAATTGTATGATAAGATAAGTATAGATAAGTTTTGTAAAAATGTAAAATGATACAGCATAGGTTGTATCTAGATCTCTATATGTAAATGAGATGCGGTATGATTAGCTAACCTTGTATTGTGTGTGAAATGTTTCTATCATTAGGGAGCGGCCAAGTTTCTGCCGAAAAGGCATTGGTATGTAAATGTGAGTGGTTATGTTAATGAGCTTATGTTTCTACTGTCATGCAACTTGTCCCAGATCATTCGGGCTGTGCTTTTACCTTTCATAGGACTTTCATAGGACTGTATCTGGGGGCCAAAACATGTGGAAGTGGGCTTTTTTAACTTGGGGCCCTTGCAGATGCATAGCAGTTTGCTTAAACCCAGACCCATTTATAACCCACACGCAACCTGTGCCTTAGGCTATGAGAAATAAGATTATGATGGCGATGCCAAATTTGATTAGTTCAATGCTGAAATGAAACAGTAAGAGTGTGTTTCGAGGTCATCATTCCCTCATTTAAGGTCTGTCTCTGGGAATGTTGTCATTTCTCATGTGGCCTGTTTCCTCAGCAAATGAATGAGTCTTTGTTGCGTACCCGCTCCGCCGTCCTTGAAATTAGTTTACCATTGATAGACCGGGAGGATATTACAAAATGTTTTATTTATTTTCGCAGGCAACTATATTTTTTTACGCTGACTGTGTGTGATTTTGAACTAACATCGAAGCGCAATCTGTTTATTTGAACAGTCTTTCTGCTTAAACCTGCAAAAGATATCACATGTTCAGCAAGTGATTCAGTGGAGTGATTCAGCATATGTCTGCAGTGTCCACACTATTATTTTTTCCCTCCGTTTGGGACTTTTTAAAGCAACAGGATGTTTTAAGGTGAGTGACGGTATGCGGATTTAACTATTTCTCTCTCGTGACTTTATTGCATCGCTCGGTACATCTGGGATGGAAACGTTGGTAGTGAAGAAAAAAGCAAAGCGTGCACTCTTTCCCCTCCCCCTCTCCTTCTCTCCTGCGCCTGCCTATCCCTCCTCCCTCTCCGGCGGGCGGACACGCCGACCGCGACTCCCATAGCCTGTCAGGAAGTGTTATGACTTGCTGCCTAAGTCTTTGTGAGGCAGGCAGGAATGCTGGTGTTTCAGATTAGCCTTGAAGGGTGTGGAGCGAGCACTGCCTCTTCTGCTGCGACCGCTGCTGCCTACAGACCCATTCTCCGCGACACATCCCAACGGTTTGGCTCTCTTTTTCTTTGTTTTTGCTGGTTCTTCTTATCTACATTGCCACACTCTCTCATTAACGTTATACACTGGGGAAAAGCAGTCTGTCTGTCTCGGCTAACGGCACAGCATCTGTGAAAGACGTCTGTTGTGCGAGTTCACATTTGTTGCATCTGTTTGCAGTTTTGGGGAAACTGGTTAAGCTTTTTTGTGTTTTGTTTTTTGCATCTCGTCAGACTGGTAAATTCATTTTATTTGGTGGAGCACATGCTCAGCTTTCCGTTTTTTCCAATGAAAACCCCAAGAAAGCCATTCTGTGGCTGTTTTTCTCTTTGCTTTTGCTTTGTAAATTATCACTGCATAATGGTTTTTGACTTTGTTCAGTCACTCGTGCAGTGTTGGCAGTCCTTGGAGACTCTGAAAATCGAGTGACTAGACAGGATTGTCTGGTTGCTTAGATTTCTGCATGACTCAATCCCATGAGGTCACACTACTCCTCACTCATTTGGGAAGTAAACAAACCTTAGTCAAATTAGACTTGATCTTGGATTGTGTAGAAGTTTATTAAAGCGGGAATTGTGGGAGAATCGATTCCAAGTGGTGATTCAGTGAAGGTATGTAGCACACGGTACTGTTTCCATGAGAGGAATGCCACAGGGGTGGACAATCGGCCCGTTTGTGTTTCGTGTTTTTCTTAAAAATTCCAGCAAAATTTCTGTGTTGGGCTTCCGAACAGCTGAAGGATGACATCAAACGTAGACCTTAAGACAAAATAGCCAGTCCAGCGCTGTCTTTAAGAGTTATTCGAACAATAAACAGTTGAACCGTTAGCATTGGCATGCCATTGACTCATTTTAGAGCATTTTTAGAAAGTCTCTAACTTTATGCTGTCCCACTGGGGTGTGGTTGGGCAGCTGGCACCTCTAATGACATAACTCACAGATGAAAAGAAGCACAAGCTGGATTGACGACTATGTTGACATGTTGATGGGTGTGTCCTGAATCATCAGTTCCTTTAAGGTAGTGGCTAGCTAACAGGAAGACGTGTCTTGGGTTGCTCGTAGTGCTGCAGTGCTGTGATCGCCGCCTATAAGAGCGTGGAACGCTGCATCTGTTCTCAGTTCAGCTGCTGTGGGTGGACTCTACTCAACAGGTTTTATTTTGCTGTGGCCTCGATTCAAAGGGTACGTCAACATGACATCACTGACACATTGGGCCAATGCCATGATACAGCATTCAAATGGACTAGATAGATCCTGGACAAATGTTTACTTTGGTTTTAGTTTTGTGTTTAGTGTTTTACTGCTTATTGTGTGTTTGGATGATAAGGTTTATTCTCCACGTTCTTTATTGGCATTGATGTTTCAATGGAGAACCTTTAAAGGGATGAAAATTTGTCATCATTTACTCACCTTTCTTCTGTTGAACACAATGAAAGTCAATGGGTGTCGTCAACTGTCTGATTACACACATTCTTTAACATATTCCTTTGTGTTCAACAGAAGAGAGAAACTCATACAGGTTTGGAACAACTTGAGGGTCAGGAAAAGCATTTTAGTGTATCACTGCTTGATGATAAGGTTTATATGCTACACTCTTATATGTAAAGCTTCTTTATCTTTATGGTTCCTAATGGAAAAGGGTGCTTTAGATTAATACAATTATCTTCACACTGAGAAAAAAGGCTCTTTTATGAACTGTCCAGTGTCCTCTGAAATGAACTCAATTGGTTCTTCTATGGCAGGACTTTGGAGCCTTTTTTTTAAGAAGGTAGTTAGGTCCACTTTCACAATTAACCAAAAGCAGACCGACTGTAGCACAGTTCAGTAGAGACTGCATCTGGTGTTCAGATTTGAACTCATCTATCAAAACTCAGAGATAAAACAACACACTGATCTTCCAAAGAAACACATCCAGACTTTGACTGTTGGCTGTGAATTAGACCATTTCCAATGTCCAATAGTTGGTTATGTTTGCTCGTTTTTTGCTAGCCTTGATGATTTCCAGTCGTCTAAACACAAAAACTAGTCATTTAAATAAGGGAAGTAGTGTTTCAGTCATTGTCTTTTGCCAGGTTACATTCAAAAGGACTTGTCTTGACGCGCCCTCTCAAACATATATTTTGCCCAAATATAGTCTGCTCAGTTTCATGCTTGATAGACGTTTGCATGTCGTTTGCATGTCTTATTCTCTTACTGTACAATCCCACTTCCAGGTTTTTCTTTCGGAAGACAGGCGTCATTGTGCATTTACCACAGTTTGGAAGTCCACACAGTAAAGTTTTTGTCTTCTCTCCATTGAAGGACACGGTTTATTCGACTGAGAGAGCTTCAGGTCGTTCTTCGGGGAGATGGCAGGAAAGATATCTAAAGATGAGCTGGAGGAGTTGCGGGAGGCCTTCGGGAAAGTCGGTAAGTGTCCTTCCTGTCCAACCAGTTTTGTCTACTCTAATCACAACTTGGCATGCCACCCTTAAAGGTGTCCTTTTTCCTTTAAATATCTTATTTCTACTGATTTATCTGTGTTTTCTTTGCGTGGATGAAAACCGCTACATTGCGGTTGAAAGCCTAAAATTTGGATCTATTTTTAAATGTCTCATTTGGCTTTTAGTTTTAAATGGCATTGATTTAGGAAACTCTAGATGTTGGTTTTTGTGTGTGTGATGGCCTAATTGTTTTGCAATGTTGTTATCTCTCCGTCTGACTTCATGTGCAGTGTGTTTCTTTAAAGTCTGGATTGTTATTGCTCAGAAAAACATCTGGGTTTTTCATTTGATTTCATGAAGTTTTTGGCATAACATGTTGCCTTGCTTTTAAACTCTCCTCACAGACTTTTGTCTCCGAAACCAACAAGTGTTTAGTGTTATATATGTGTGTGTGTTTTCCAAGCCCTATTCAAAATAAATCTTTTGTTTAAATATTTGAATAGGACTTGGGTCTATTAACAAGTTATTGTTTTAATTTATTCTCTAGCATTAACCATGAACTGCATAGTAGCCATATTTTGCACACTGTAGTGTCTCTTTATAGGGTTATTTCACACACATATTCATCATTTAGTCATCACAAGACTTTTGTTCATCTTCAAAGCACAAATGAAGATATTTCAAATGATCTCTACGTTCATAAAGAGATCGTAAACCCATAAGAATCAAGCGGCTTAATTCGTGATCACTTTATTTGATTTTAAAGCAGATCATTTCGGCTTTAATTCACATAAAAACATTGATCAACGCGCATACACAGAGCACACGAAATATGGTCAACGGAAGCTCAAATGTGCGTACAGGTACAGTGATTGTTCTCACGTGTCAAGCAAGTACAGTTGCGATATTTAGAAATTGTTAGTTATATTATTAGAATTCAACTATGGAAAAATAAGAATACCAATTTTCATATTGCCACTATTTTACTGCACTGAGATAATAAGATACTTATGACACTTTAAATAACAATTATAATTACAATTATAAAAATCTTGCCTCTTTGGCTTCCAAAAGGTCATGCAAAAAATGCTTTTTTCAGGCTGGTCCGACTATTGCGTTGTTAAAAGTACAAAAAAAAGGCAGCCCAGTCAATGTCTCTAAAAAATGTGTTTTTTTTTTTAACTAAAAGATTGTACTATGTATACGAGTATTTCCATATGATCTCTCTTTGTGCTTCAAAGGTAGAGTTTGTTGATTTGTTTTTAGAAGACTAATGTCAGCCACTACTGTAAAAAAAAAAAAAAACCCTGTGTGGTTGCCAGAAGTTTACCGTCAAATATACGGTAGCAACATTATTGGTTTTACAGACTTAAAGTTTAAGTTTACAGTTTAAGTTTACTTAAAGTTTACAGTAATAAACTTTTGAAGTATAGACATCCGTTTTGTACCATTGTAATACACTGACAATCAACAATCATAACAACAAGGTTTATACTAGCATAGAGAAGCTGCAGTGTCATTCACACAAACATTAAACGCCATCATGGTAACACACATGAAATAAAAAAATGCAATAAACATTAGTTTAACAACATTTAAAGTAACATAAAACCCTAATGTACAAAACTGACAAGAAAAAAAAAAAAGAAAACTATGAGGAACCAGTTATTTCAACAAAAACACATAAAATAGGGAATTGCGGGAGTGTCAATTTACGGTTTTTCACTGTAAATTATACAATGAGTTGTAATTTAATGGTGTTTTACAGTAAAATTACATTGAATGCACCATGATATGTATCACAGTTATTTAGTACGGAACAGTTTTGCACTGTAGCATTTTTACCGTTCTTTTACCGTAAAAATGTCATAATTTAGAAATAATTTTAGCCTGTGATTTGAGCGCTGTTTGAAGGGGCGTGTCTGCTGTAAGAATGTAAACGCCCACTGCTGTGATTGGCTAACACCTTTGCATATGAAACAAGCATTACATGTGGTACTCGTTACTATTAGGCTAGCTGTCGAAATTAGCTCATTTTCATTGTTGATTGTGTTGATTACAGCACTATATGAAGAGTTCAGATGCAAAAGCCTCTAAGTGCCATTTGAAATTTTCTTCTTTAATGATGATTTTTATCAAGCTTGTATATTTAAGTTCAGTGATTTCACTTAAATGGCAATGATAATTACCTATTAATTGTTATTTAAGTGAAATTACTGAACTTAAATATACAAGTTTGATAAAAATCATCATTAAAGAAGAAAATTTCAAATGGCATTTAGAGGCTTTTGCATCTGAACTCTTCATATGTAGATCTACTCCCCATGCCTGCAATGTTTGCTGAACCCATGAATGCAGTGATATTAACAAATTTCTGCACTCTCACGAATGTCTTCATCATAACTAACAGAGTAAACACGATGTAAATAAGAGCTCTGTTGTGCAGTTTCTTGAATATACCGGCTCCACCAAATCCACCAAACATCGACCCAGCCATCTCACACTTACCCATCAATCAACTGGAACAAGCCAACCAGAGAGTAGAGCTGACCAGATCAGTGTAGTCAGCATCATTGATTATAATGGGAGTTTTGGCGAGAGTCCTGAACTCAGACACTGATAAAACACGCTGTTTGATTGACAGCTAAAGAGAGAGTGCTTTGATTGCATTCTGTAGTTTACACAATTTAAATAATGCTACTAAGAGAAACAATGCATTTAGTCGCTTGATTTACTGACGTATAAACAGCCAAAAACTATTTCAAGAATGTCTTGACTGTACATGAATCATTACATATCAGAAATAATTGACATTAGAATTAACACATGTTGTGGCTTTACCGTCGGATCCATCTCTGAAGCCCCGAACACACCAAGCCGACGGTCGGCAGTCTGGCAGATTTTGGGCGTCGGCCAACTAAGTTTCCTCAGTGTGATATGGCTGAAAATAGTCCTCGTCGGCTTTGTTTTGCGCGATTCGTCATGTTGAATCGCCGTCGGGCCGTTGGGGAAAGAGAGAACTTTGATTGGCTGTTCAGCTTAGTGAAAGAGTCAGTGCACGAGAATAAACGCAAAACAGCAAGCGAAGTCAAAACGGAAAAGATAGAAGGCTGTTACGTCTTCTTACCTGAGCGTTCCTTGGCGAATATTTCAATATTAACATGAGTGGAGTGGAATAGAGGCGACAACACAGTTGGCTTTAATCAGCACTAGTTCGTTGACGTCTGCTTGGTGTGTTCCGGGCTTTACAGTAAAAGTCTGTTTTTAAAGCCTGTGCCGAAATGTGACGGACAAACAAACAATGCTCTCCTGAGACAGTCACACAGTTGAAAATGCATATCCACATTCATAGCATTAGGATCCTTTGTAAGGTAATGCTATTTTTAATCCAGTGACTCTCTATCTTTCATCTCACTAATGCGCCAGTGGGCGGGGCCAAAGACGTGATGATGTAGGCGTTGATCATCCTCTGCTGATGCGGTCTTTCAGTTGGATTCAATAGAAGCTGTTTTTGGACTAACAAGGAAGTTTTTGAGTTCTGAAACCTACAGGATGCTTTTATAGACCATTTTGCTAGATGTAAACAACACTGGTCCAGAAACACTTCCTGTTTCACTTTGTAACTGTTTTATGTAAAGAAAACATCTTAAAGATGTTTGTTTAACTTTTTGATTCAGTTTTATATGTTCTGTTGGTTGTATTTTACCCCAGCTTTTATGTAGTGTTAAAAAACTGAAACAGGAAGTGCTTCTGGACCAGCGTTGTTTACATCTTTCAAAATGATCTATAGTAGCCTACAATGACATCTAATATGGCGAAAGATCAAGGAAATTGTGATTTGTTAATTCATGACCTCTTTAAAGAGCATACTGCGATTGGTGATCTGGGTTATGAAGTTTGTGGAGTTAGTATTTTTTCTAATGGTCCGTGACAAGAATGTGGTTCAGACTGCATTTCCCCGTTTATCAGATTTCTCCTGCAGACTGGCAGAACATTGCAGCCTAAATTGTCGGAATCGCCCATGTCCTGGTATTGTAATGCACACACAAGTCTTAATGGTCATTTTTTAATGTTGTGTGCATTCTGATTTAGTTTTTAGACTACTAATCCACTTTTTAACCCATTATCTACTGTAGCCAGTGTTTGTAGTAGAGTTGACCACTAGAAACTCTTGGAGTTTGATGCTAGAAGATGGCTTTATTTCTTTGTAATAAAATCTGAGTTCCTATAGTGCTCCCCCAAGGTGGGGTCAATACATCTTATACATTTTCAAACTCTGCACCAATATTGTTTTCAATTTTTCCATTTCTGGTTGTGAGTCCAGTCTGTTTTTAAAAAGTGTAAGGAAAGGGCCCAACCTATTTACATTAGAGGCCCCTGATCATCTACAAATATTCTTTAATGGTGCACAGTTTAGCATTTACACCATATATCTAATGGCAGAGCGAGAGACTCCAACATATGCTAACACATTCTAGTCTCTCACAGGCCTCTACACTCTTAGAAGAAATGGTTGTATTTAGAACCAGAAATGGTTCCATCCCCCGCTTCATTTATGAAGCTCCAAAATGGTTCCATATAGAACCTTTTTTTTTTTTTTGGTAAAAGGTTCTATTGGCCAAGTACAGAACCCCAGGGTTCTATATAAAACCCAGAGGAACCCTTTTTTAAAGAGTGTATAGAACCTTTTAGGGGTTCCAAAAACGTAGCGCTGATAGAACCTTTTAAGGTTCTATAGAACCTTTTCTTCTAAGAATGTACAGACTCACACACTCAGATACATGGTTATAATTCACATATTTAGATACATGGTCATAATACTAGAATAAAAATGGTTATATTATACTTAAATATTTATATATAACTCTTCTACACCTCATTCTGGCCAGTATCTAATGTCATGTTAGTGTCTCTTTTGTGGATAAAACAGTACCAGAATGCTTTGCTTGAGGCTCAGTGAACATGTTTAGCGTGGCCTATGTTTTAGTCTTAAGTTCTATAAATAGAAATATTTTCTTTACATTTTAGGAGTTTAATTTAAATGTAAAGATGTATTTGTTTTTGTGTTGAAGTGTTACATTGACATTTTAGGCTGCTTAAAGCCTACTCCAGATGTTTTTACATTTCCGAAACATTTTATTTTACATGCATATGCAGGAAAATGCAGAGTTATTTTGGCTAATCAAACTATTTCAATTGCATATCCTCGCTTTTTTCCCCAATGTTGTTGTGGCTTCTTAAAGGGATACTCCACTTTTTTTGGAAAAAGGCTCATTTTACAACTTCCTCAGAGTTAAACTGTTGGGTTTCACCATTTTCGAATCCATTCAGACGATTTTCTGATATTTAGAAGAATATCAGTAACCAGACAGTTTCTGGTCCAATTGACTTCCATAGTAGATGGTTGAGCCTATTTATACAAAAAAAGTGGAGTATCCCTTTAAGATTTTTACGCTATTGAATTGTAACGTTAACTACCGGTAATTGCAACCTTAATGTTTCGTGCTTGTTGGGAAGAGGCAAGATGTTGACGCCAAACCAATAATTTTCATTTTTCTCCATAGATTTGAATGGCAATGGCTTTATTTGTGACCATGAGCTCCACGAGCTGTTCAAAGAGGCCAATCTGCCCCTGCCAGGGTACAAAGTCCGAGAGATCATCCAGAAACTGATGGAAGATGGTGACAAAAACAAGGACAACAAGATCAGCTTTGAAGAATTCCTGTCTGTAAGTGTCTACGAACTGCTCTGTTCCCTAATACCCAAAAATAATTCTACACATCTGCATATACACATCCTTACAAGGCTTAAAACTGGCTACACATGTACATCACTTTTCATTGTGGTGCTTAAAAAAAAAAAAAAAACGTGTTCCAGTGAATCAATGCTTTGTTCAGTCTATAAACTTCATTTGCAAATCAAATGTTATTGTCGTGAGAAAACATTTACATGATCACATATGCTGTTCTGTGCAAGCATGATTTTAATGGATGAATGCAACGTTTAGAGTGATTACAGTAAAGGTGTCTGCGTGATTAATAAATTAGATGGTTTAAGAGCGCTAGTGAAGGTGTTTAGTTGGATTGGAATTAGAAACCCATCATATTTTTAAAACTAAAGCTTAAAATCCCTGATTTGCATATTCAGCAGTAGCTTTCACCATATATGGACAACATAATACATCATACTCTGAGATTAGAGTTTCAGTGCTGGATCCAGATGGCCTGTGCACTATTTCATCATTTTATTAATTAGTGGTGGTAAAATAATGATGAAATCGTTACTGTTTGTGGATCTCCGAACTGTGTAGGCTGGTTGAGGAGAGTTGTGAAATGGGTCAGAAATCCACATAAACTAATGGTGAAAAGTTTGGAACTAAGAGTTTTAATATTTCTTATACTCACCAAGACTGCATTGATAAGTAAAAAAATTGAATCAGACATATTGTGAAATATTAGTACAATTTAAAGTAACTGTTTTAGTTTTACTGTTTAAGTGTACACTGTAAAAATGAATACAACTGAATATGGTAAATCTAATCAATAAAATTGAGGCAACAGATTACAATCCATATTATTAATTAAATTTAACAAATTAGAATTGAGTAATAACTAACCAAATGAATTACTTAAAAGTTAACCATTTAAAATGAATAGAATGTAAAACAAAAATATCTTTTTTTTTTTTTATTGCCAACACTGAAGACACCTGATGATAACAAGCAGAATCACTGAAGGAGAAAAACATATTTATAAGTCACCATTATGCAGATCAGTGTGTGTGTGTTTTAGTTGGGCCAATTCTTAATTCAGAATTCTAAATTCTTGAGTTCTTAATTCATCTTTGACTTCAGTCTGTCTTTTCCCATTTTTTTTGTTGTTTTGTTTAAAAAATGTGCAAATTCTACTAGGGCTGCACAATTAATCGAATTTGTAATCGCGATTACAATTATGGATGCCACAATTATGTAATCGTTTAAAGGCACAATTATAAAAAGTCCACTTACATTATTCTGTGTGCTTAAAATGTGTTTTTTACAGGTTATCTTAAGGGTTTTTTCCCCATTGTTTTAATTTTAGTTAGTGTAACATTATAATTATAATTAGCATTAAAGCAACACTATTCAACATTGTTTACTTAAAATAATGTTTCCAAAATCTTATCAGTGGTTCATCAAGTCGTAACAGGGTGAAAGTCACTTCTGCCGTCGCCTGACGGGGTCTGTATCACTTTTACTGGCACTATGTAACTTCGGGGTTCGGGTAGGAAACCGACCACAAAAAGAACTACAAAATTCGACTGCTTTACATCAAGCACTATAATAGTCATTACTTCATTTTTCTTTGTTTCTGATGTCGCAATACATCATCCTTTCATGAAATCATGTAACATACTCTACCTTGTCTGTGGACATCGTTCATTCTAAAGCCGCTGCTGGATAAACAGCAAGCGTGCGTGCAATGGTAGGCTAAATTATTTATGACAGCGGCAATGGACAATTTCGTTTCCAACCAGTAGGGCGACCGAAGAGGAAAAGTTACTTTGTGTAACCATGGAAAGGAATTGAAAGTTTTTCAGGAGTTTTCAGGCATTTTATTTTGATATAACAATGGCATAAAGCTGTTCAAAACATCATTCAATGTAAATTGTGATAATCGTAATTAATAATCGCAATTATAATTTCAAGGCAATAATCGACAATTATGATTTTTGTCATAATCGTGCAGCCCATTTTAAATGGTTAACATTTAAGTAATTCATGTTGTTAGTTATTACTCAATTCTAATTTGTTAAATTTAATTAATAATATGGATTGTAACCTGTTGCCTCAATTTTATTGATTAGATTTAACATAATCAGTCGTATTCATTTTTACAGTGTAATTTATTTCAGCATCATTACACTGTAAAAATGAATATGCTTTATCTAATCAATAGAACTGTGACAACAGATTACAAGCAATGTTATTAATTAAATTTAACAAATTAGAATTGAGTAATAATTAATCAAATTATTCCTTAAAAGTTAACCATTTAAAATGAGTAAAGTTTACACCAAAAAAAAAAATACAAAAATATCTCACTAACAGACAGACGTCAAAGATTAATTAAGAACTCTTTATTTTATATTGCCAACATTGAAGACACCTGATGTTAACAAGCAGAATCACGGAAGGAGAAAACCGTCATTTTAAAACAAACACTGATCACCATAATGGTGACTTCAATTTATGTTTTTTTGGTTGTTGTTTTAAGTTTTACTCATTTTAAATGGTTCACTTTTAAGGAATTAATTTGATTAATTATTACTCAATTCTATTTTTTTTAATTTAATTAATAATATTGTCATAATAATAATAATAGATAAAGCGTATTCATTTTTACAGTGTACTCCAGTCTTCAGTGTCACATGATCCTTCAGAAATCACTCTAATACGCTGATACGCTTTATTAATAATGAGTATTATTATCATAATATATGTTTTTTTAGGATACTTTTAATAATAGAAAGTTCATATTTTTTTAGACAAAGTAAAAGTCCTTGTGTTATTTTTGATAAATTGAACGTGTCCCTGCTGAATAATTCTGCAGTCCAGAATAACACAGAGCCTCTTTTTCAGTCACATGGTGCATGATCACCCGGTTGGACGGCGGTGTGTTTGTTTGCACTGCTGTGAGGAGGTTATGAGCAGCTGCTGGCAGTTGACGATCAAGCTTTAATTACACACACATGCCACGCGCCATTAAATATGTGCATCTGTTTAGTTTCGAGGACCTCTTGTTGCGTTAGTGTATTTTAAATTATGTGTGGATGAAAAGTCTCAGTAATATGGTGGAACGGATGTTGCAGCAGTTTTTGTCTATTTTATAATTAATTGTATGCTCCCACAGATCTTTCAGGAGCTGAAGAGCAGTGACATCGCAAAGAGCTTCCGGAAGGCCATCAACAGGAAAGAGGGGATCTTGGCTATCGGCGGGACGTCCGAGCTGTCCAGTGCGGGCACACAGCACTCCTTCTCAGGTAAAAACGCCTCGGATTGCACCGGATCAGACAAACCACTGCTTTCTTTGGCTATAATTGCTTCTGCACCACTTCCCGTTGGGTTGGTCTGTAGTACTGTGGCAAGTAAAGTAATGGCATCAGATGATAATAATATGGTTTTTGTATGGATTGCCATATTCATACCTTGAGATCTAGGTTCTAAAACCCGTAACATTATAATATAGTACTTTTATATGTACATATATATTTTTGTCTGTATATGATTTTACTTGTGTTTTGATGTTGTCTTGGTACAAATGATATGGTTTACTTTGTTTAGGGAGGAGTGTGTCACCTTTTGGGAGTCTTGTATGAATGAATGTCTTTTTTGGTTTTGGCTTACATATTTAGCTGTATAGTACTACTGAGTAGCATTTTTTTGTTTTGTTTTGTTTTGTTGGTTTTTCTTGTCTATTTGTTTTTTGTTTTTGCCTTTTTCTATTTGTTATGTTAAATTCCAGCTGCTGTAAGGTCAATTTTTTATTTGAATCTAGAATCGAGGACCCCCTCGAAAACGAGATGGTTCATTTTCCTCTTTAATAAAAATGTCAAATAATAATAAATAATAATAATGTACTTTTTGATATTTTTAGCTTGGTTGCACTTTATTTTTGCAGTCTTGTTCCTCATACATATTATGAATAACTGGGTAATAACATAAACCTAGCCTTGACCCATGTAGTTACCTTAAATTACCCAGTACTTTCTTAGGTAAGTACACTGTAAAACAAAGTGCAGCCTTTATGTTTTTAGTGGTTGGTGGTATGTGATCTTGTTGTCTGTGTCTTTGTCCAGAGGAGGAGAGGTTTGCTTTTGTGAACTGGATCAACACAGCGCTGGAACAGGACCCTGACTGTAAACATGTGCTACCCATGAACCCCGATACAGACTCTCTCTTCAAGGCGGTTGGTGACGGTATTGTGCTGTGGTAAGTCGGACACACTCAACCTCTTACCTGTGAGTTTTAACGATCTTATATCATTTAAGAAACCTCCTCATTGCATTTGTCATTGATTCCTTTTAGTAAAATGATCAACCTGTCAGTACCTGATACTATTGATGAGAGGACCATTAACAAGAAGAAGCTAACACCATTCACAGTACAGGTGTGCTTTTGATTTATTATTGCAGCCATCTCTGTTTGAAGATTGTTCTTTAAAATATGACTGAATCACTTTCAGTGACTTCAAATCTATTAAAGTGCATATTTGTTAGATTTGGGTCTAATGAAGATCATTGTTTCTGTATTGCAGGAGAATCTTAACCTGGCGCTTAACTCGGCCTCTGCTATTGGCTGTCACGTGGTCAACATCGGAGCTCTGGACCTTCGGGAAGGCAAACCTCATCTGGTTTTGGGCCTTTTGTGGCAGATCATTAAGATCGGCCTGTTTGCTGACATTGAGCTGAGCAGAAACGAGGGTACGTGTCTCGATCACATGTCTAGTCCAAAACAGTGCTGGCATTGCCACAGCTGATGACGACATCCAGGAATCCTGACAAACAGATTTAGCATCTCTTCTCTAGTTAAATGTTAACATGACTGACTGATTTGTCCCTTAAATTCAGCTTAACTGTCCCACAGGTGGGACGTTTGCCACTATATTTTTAAAACAATAATATCTTAGTAAATACCTTAAATAATATTGACAAACTATATATCATTTGAAAGCAAAATATATTACAGAGGAGCCATAATTTATCAATATAAAACAAGAATATTTTCATACTCATAAGGCGTGTTCAGACCTTTATTTTAAAATAGCAGTAAACATGAAAAATCATTTAAAAAATGGTAGATACCTCAGTTTGTTTTCATGCCAAAAGTTCAAAAGATAGAATCCATTCAATTATTTTGGAAAAAAAAGGTCTGAAAAGTTTGAAATATCAAGAAAAAAATAATAAATTCACCATTTGTGACGTGGCAGCTAGCTATGACTTACATGCGTGTTCTTTGTATGTGTTTCTTAGAGGTTCAATTCATATCAAAATCTACCAAACTTCCCATGCTACTTCTGAATAGGATCTCTACTTCAGAAATTGTATGAAAATTGTGAAAATAATGGTTCATATCACTCAAAACACGAATGGAAATGCAGGCGCCCTTATATGGGCAGTAATGGAGTCTGATTGTGCCCTAGTGAAAAAGTTCGGTACTGCGCTCAAACAAAATCTTACTGAAAGCTCATTTTTTGAGATATCAACCTAAAATTTGAAACACAACTTGTTCAGATTTTTGGCTTTGATTTTTCTGCCATTTTAGAGTAGCCCAGGTTTTGAAAATATATATTTTATGTAAAATATGAATAATTAATATTTTTGCATTGTACATTTCCATAAACTCAAACCTCTATAACTTTTTTTCTGTTTCACTTTCTTAATTTATTTCACTTCTACAAAAATCTGCCAAATGTCTTCTTTAAAACAAGACCAATCATATGTCTATATTCCAAAGCATTCTTGAATTACAACCATTTAAGTTCGAAATGTGCATTTTCATGTCTATTCAAAAAAGGGGGGGGGGGGGTGACAGTTAACAGGTTAAGGAAGTTTAGGTTGGTCTGAAAGGCTCTGTATCTAAAGATAGATTTCAATAGCCTAAGATTAACCTTCATAATGAATGAAAATCACTCTGAAAGGATGAATAAACAAGTTATTTTATTACATAAAATTGCTTTTCATGTGGCACAATGCCAGGAACGATTAGTCACAAAGCAGACTTGAGATGATACATTAGAAACAAATACAATAATGGCATTTGCTTGACATTTATAGATCCAGTGAAGATTCTGTATGCAAGCATCAATGGCTTGAACTACGGGCAACAACTAGCAGCCTTGAAAAGTGTAGCATGCCCTGTCTTTTGGGCTCTCATTGAGTTACAGATAACAGACAAACTGGATTGTTTACCGAGGGTTGTGTGTGTAAACAGGGGGTTATTTGAACTTGTGTGTCCTGGAAAATCAAGGTGAACATAACACTGTTTAGATGAAGAAAGGAAACGGACCCAGCACCGAACCCTGAGGTGTGGTGGTTATTTAATATGACTTAGACATCTCTCCCTTCTGAGACGTCCTGAAGGATCAACCTGTGGGGTAAAACTCACAACAGTGGAATGTAGTTCATGTAATGCACATTAAGAAGAGGCTTCATAAAAGGATTTGATAAATTTATGTGTCAAAATCTGCAGTAAAGCCCAGCAGAACGAGGACACGCGATCTGGGGGCTGCTTTTTTAAATTTGTCCTGTACAAGTAAGGAAGAGACATGGTTGAAAACAAGTGTTTCCATCATGAAAAAGTTCATATAGACTGGTCTGGGTTTTTAAAATTGAAGGCTTAAAGGTGCTATATGTAGGTTTTCTTCTAAAATGAATGCCTTTTTATTGCCTGTGTTTGAAGGGGTTGTAAACACACATTACAATGATCCACTTGTCGGGTTTTGCTATTACCTCTGAAGGCCAGTATTCCTATTTCTATGTGAAGTCTCCGGGTCGGATTTTCTGCGAAATCCATCGGATGAGACGTGCATGCGCGCTCCAGAGCCTCTCTCCTTTATATATACGGTCTATGCAACGACATAAAGTCTGATAACACCAAAAAACTACAATCCAACACAAACTCGCATAAATATAAAACACAAAACAAAACAAAAATCTATCTGCTGAAGCTCGTCAGGCCAAACGTGAATCGGATCGAAAACACGGATCAACATCGGCAGAGCGTTTGAATTATGGAGAGGCCTCCGCTATTTTTATTGTGATGAATTACAAGTTTTCAGATATGCTGAAATAATGGTAAACTGTAATGAAATAGCAAGGTAAACTACATAAAATGAACCCAAAAGACTATTCCAGGATATCAAAAAGTAGGATGTAACTTTTATTTGATGTACTAGATCTACTGTCTAACGTCACTCATCCACTACTATCATATTGTTTATAATAAACATTTCCAGACACGTTCAGTACAGTTATGTTAATTCCTACGATCTTACTGTTAAGGCCATTGCACACAGAGTCCGTAATTTTCGTATGCGTTTTTCGTATTCGTGATTTGCTGGCTCTGAATTGTCGAAACATAATTCAAACTACTTGCTACGGATGTGAAAAACGCAGAAAATCAAACCCGATTCGATTTTTTTTTTCTAACGGATGAAAGTTTCGGAGGCAGTGTGTAAGGGTGATTGACATAACGTGTGGTCGTATTTATTTTTTAACGTGCGAACATTTCGGACGCGAATTTATACTGAAATTGTCCAGTCTATTTCACTAACCGTTTTCGTTATCATGTTATACATTCACCGATGTTGACATTGCTGATTGGTAAAGGTACATGAATAGTTAGTGAAATGCCTTATGCTAGATAACAGCACAAGTATAACGTTATCATGGTACGAGGATGGAGCATTGGTTCAACGTCAAGCTGATAACAGTAGCCTATTATTGTAACGTTGCAGTGTAAGTGTATTGTAAGTTTCCAGCGTGTTGTGTGATGCTTTCTCCGGTGTGTGTAAAGTCTCAGTGTGGCCGTGTACCATGAGTGATCGCTCTTGTGTTCGAGCATGCGCGCTCTTGTAAAAATTGGTTGCAATCTGAAACATCACCAATAGAGGCCGCTAAAAACTACATATAGCACCTTTAACTCTCCCTCTCTAATTCCCCTCTCTATGTGAAGCGCTTTGAGTGTCGAGAAAAAGCGCTATATAAATTTAATGAATTATTATTATTATTATTATTATTATTAACTACTTGAATGTGGTGGGGAAAGTATGGGCACCTACAGGAGACACGAATCCGGTCCATTCATAATTAACACACCTGAAAAATCGAATCTGGGTCTTCAGGATTGCTTGAAAACTACAGGCAGATTTGAATTAAACGCTGTAGGACAGGAGTTGCCCATCTCTGAACTGGAGACGTCTAGTATTTGAGTTCTGGTGTACTCTGAGGTTGTGGAAAGAGTTTGTGATTAAGTGAACTGGGTTTTTAAAAGCACAATACAGGGCGTCTGCCTTAAATGATCAGTGGTCAGAGGATGCCCATGTCTTAGTGTGGCAAAGGAAATAGCCATTAAAATCAAAATCTGGGTTAAAACGCTGTGATTTAATGTGACTGGTCTTTTTTCAGCTCTTGCGGCGCTGTTGAGGGATGGAGAGACACTTGAGGATCTGATGAAACTGTCTCCAGAGGAACTGTTGCTCCGCTGGGCCAACTTCCACCTGGAAAACGCCGGCTCGAGCAAGATCAACAACTTCAGCAGTGATATTAAGGTCAGCCTTAATGTGTCCATTCTCTATACTCTGCTCGTGTGTGTGTGCGGATGAAGTATCAGATCTCTGTGCATGCTGTTTTCATGAGGATATTGAGCTGATTTGTGGTTGTAGTCCTGTCTATTTTTTATATTAATTTAGCTGTAAAATATGTGAGATCCCATGCTAAAGGTTTAAACGCATGACCACTTTAATATCAGGCCTTGTATTCTCTATCAAGATGATATAAAACTGATGTTCAAATTGAAATAGCCAGTCAGAGAGGATAAACAGTCACAGATAAAGTTGTTGTCTTCAGTGGTGTTTATTTCGCTAGGACCTAATGTGCAACAGAGTGGTTATGAATGTGACTTATATAGAATATAGGCATGTTATTACTCATCTATGCAATACCGAGCTTTATATAGATATTATAGGGACTTGGGAATGGGCTATTTTGACTTTATAACATCTGCATATTAACACCATAGCATTATGACTCTTAAAGAGACCTGCGAACATCTTATTATAGCTTTTAATGATATGCAGTTGAATTTAAATGATACATATTGTACTTTACACTAACATTACATTACATGCACCTGCCTACAATAATCATTTGAAACATTTGAGTTTTAAATCTTTTATGAACTTATGGGTGGATATACAGCTTTACTTTAGCTTTAATGATGAAATACAAAAATGTGTTGCCAAATTCATCCAAATTTGAATTTACATAACAGCTATCTCCATTTTCTGTTCCATAAAGGCATTTCGCCAGAGCGAGAGTGCAGTTACTTTGACTTTCAAATGCTCTGGATGAAAAACGTTGAGAAAAAATGTGAGGGATAATTTAGTGTCTAATAAAGGATGTGTGACCCAAGCTGTTAGGTGACTCATTATATGTCATTTATGCTCAAGATAAAGATGAAAACAGTGAATGATTGAACTAATATCTCTCTCTATCTTCCTCTGTGCTGCAGTTAACAGATTTTTCAAAGTGTGTAAAGGTACTCTCCTAAACGTACTGTGAGATCATGTGTATTTTGTTGTTTTGTTCATTCATTTCCATTCTCAGGAACTCGCGCATGATTGTCTGTTCCTCACTCATTTCTCTGGATTGTGTGTCTCATGTAAATGTAATTCACAGTGTAATTATCTTTGGATGACTTCAAGTCCTTTTAGTCAGATTTTGTGATTTTTGGGCAGAATAAAATTGATGCGTTGGAGCATTGTAGTATTTTAGTTGCGCAAGTATTTTTGACAGGCTTTTTTAAATTATTCTTCAAATGTACACAAAAATGTATTGAAAATTTTATTTTCAAACGTCAATCTTAAAGGTGTAGTTTACTTTTAATAAAACTTTTGCTGATAATTTACTCACCCCCATGTCATCCAAGATGTCCACGTCTTTTTTTCTTCAGTCGAAAAGAAATTAAGGTTTTTGATGAAAACGTTCCAGCATTTTTCTCCATAAAATGGACTTCAATGGGAACCAAACGGTTCAAGGTCCAAAAGACAGTTTCAGTGCAGCTTCAAAGGGCTTTAAACGACACCAGACGATGAATAAGGGTCTTATAAAGCGAAACGATCACTCATTTCAAAAATAAATAACAAAGTTTAAGTTTTATAAGCTCAATGCTCGCCTTGCTATTTTCTGTGATGAGCGTTCATGACTCTCCTGTTCAAACTCGTTCATCAAAATAAACAAATCTTTTTTCGAGTCATGACTTGAAGGGTCCTAGATAAGACCCTTATTCATCGTCTGGAATCGTTTAAAGCCCTTTGAACAATTTGCACTGAATCTCTCATTTGAACCTTGAAACGTTTGGTCCCCATTGAAGTCCATTATATGGATCAAATCCTGGAACGTTTTCATCAAAAACCTTAATTTCTTTTCGACTGAAGAAAGAAAGAAGTGGACATCTTGAATGACATGGGGGTGAGTAAATTATCAGCAAAAGTTTTTTAAAGTGAACTACTCCTTTAAATATCAAATATGACCATCGGGCCTTTAAGGAAGGCTTATTCCTCAATCACTGTATTGATATGTTTTAAAACTTCAGAGATTTGGTCATAAAAAATATCATCTTACTAAGACTTATTATTGGAGTACCAGTATAGTGACGACTGAGATTTACATGCATTTTATCTAAGTGTTTACTATACTGTTATAAAGAGCTAACAAGCTTATTACTTTTTTGTCCATATAAATATCAGCACCAAATTACAGTTTTGGTCCACAAGTGTGAGCTTCATATTCTCACTATATCAGACTTTATAAGCCATATGAAATATGATACTTGACAAAAAACATTAGAAAGCTTTAATAAACTATTCTATTTAAAAATACATATATTGTTTCATATGTCAGGCTCAGCGTAAACCCTCCTGTACTCTTGTATAGAGGTTTTTTAGGACTGAGACTGATTATTTTTAAGCGCCTGATTATTTAGGTAGTTTATCTTGGCTTTTAATGCAAAACCAACTCCCGGTTGTTGTCTGTGGCGTAATAGTGTTGATTCTGAGAGTCTGTCTCTAGTAATGACACCATTATATGATGCTCATAAATACAATCTTGCTGACGTGACTTGAAGGCAGCATTGCTAAAGACTTTTGTTCTGTCTGTACTCTTGAATCTGCAGGACTCGAGGGCTTATTTCCACCTGCTCAACCAGATCGCACCTAAAGGACAGAAGGAGGGCGAGAAACACATCGACATCGACATGTCAGGCTTCAGCGTGAGTTCACATCTATCATCTATCATAAACCAGTACACACATGGAGACATTCGGTGCGGTGCAGCTCTCAGTGGAAGAGTGTGTCTTATATAGAAATATACAAGCTTCCTTCACTGGAGAAGCTCATTGTGAAACACTTCCTCTCACACTGGACCGGTATCTTCTAGGACCGGGTATTGACACAAATTTCACAATTCGATTCGATTTCGATTCACAAGCTTGCAATTCGATTTCGATTCAATTTTGATTATTTTGGATATCAGTTACAATAAATGGCAATTTTTCTCAAGGAAATCAAATCTCTGAACTAATGCTGTAAACTATGGGAGTTCATTAGCCTAATGTGAAGGTAATAATGTTTTGTAGCTATACAAACACTTAAATTACACTTTCATTTATTTTATAATAAAAAGATTATATGAAATATAAACATTTAAATGGTGGCTGTCATAAAAACTTGCCAGATTTATTCAAATATGCATTAAATATTGAAGAACTTTAAGATTATAATGCATATGTAACATGGTGTATATATTTAGCAAAATGCTCCTCTCTGGAGTTATTTTTTCTAGCTGACTAACGAGTTTATGTGGGTTTTCTGAGGTAAATGTGACGATACATTGATACGCTGTTTAACTGACGTCTTTCCACGGTTGAAACGCTGATTGGGCGAATCAATGTGACATGATACGGATTTCGATAAGTTGTACTCTATCTTTAACACACTTTCAGATGCTCATTCATGTTTATTTCGTGCTGTAACTGGTATTATTAAGCCGGAAGAGAGAGCTGCGCCAGAGCGATCTCACGCCACAGCGCCAAAACGCTATTTATGTTTTTGAATTTCTAAAGAAAATGGACGTAATTTGAAACTTGAGACTTTGTTTCATATCAATAGTAACAAAGGATAAAGATTATTGCGATTTTTTTTGGATGCGCGCTGCCGCGATACAATGATCCATTCATTCAAATGAAACAGGATGACTAATCGATTCTTGAGATTTAAGAATCGATATCGGTTCGTAAAAATGAGAACCGATTAATATTGAGAAATCGATATTTATTACCCAGCCCTTTTATGAAGCGCAGTTATCAAGCATCAGCAGTTCAATCGCTAGTTTCTCTGGGGGCTGAAAGTTGATCCAAACCTGGGATTGATTCTTATAATCATTGCCAAAATGAAGAACTGCGAATAGTGTTTTTTAGTGACTTCCAGTGGGAAAATCTTCAAAAAGCCAGTGTTTATTGCACACTGTGTCCCAGTCTGTCGTGGCAGTCTCAACACGAGCATCCAGTGCAGACGCCAGATCCTCCCCCAGTCATTCACTGCTTTGCTTCAGGACAGTAACAATGTTGGCCGTTTCCCAGCAGTGTAAACAGCCAGTGTGTGTGTGTAACCCCACGCGCTGTTATTGACTGTGTGCTGAATGAGACGGCTGTGACTGGGACACGCTCAGGGTCGTCTCACCCTCAACATCAGCCTTTGAGTCTCGGATAATAAATAATGTTTCCTTTCAGTGTCGGACACTCTTTCCCAGCCCCAGTGAACCGCATCAAGGTCTGTTCTGGGGACACATGCAGTTCCTTTTTAAGATAGCTCAAAATCAATGATGTTTTCATGGATTTTGGAGATTTGTTTTTGAAAGAAGTCTCTGAAACTTGCCAAGGCTGCATTTATTTGATCAAAAACACAGTAAGTAATAGGGCTGGGTAATAAATATGGATTTCTCGATATTAATCGATTCTCATTTTTACAAACCAATATCGATTCTTAAGTCTCAAGAATCGATTAGTCATCCTGTTTCATTTGAATGAATGGGACATTGTATCGCGGCTGTGCGCATCCAAAAAATCACAATAATCTTTGTCCTTTGTTACTATTGATATGAAACAAAGTCTCAATTTTCAAATTACGTCCATTTTCTTTAGAAATTCAAAAACATAGATAGCGTTTTGGCGCTGTGGCGTGAGATCGCTCTGGAGAAGCAGCAGCGCTGATCTCTCTTCCGGCTTAATAATACCAGTTACAGAGCGAAATAAACATGAATGAGCATCTGAAAGTGTGTTAAAGATAGAGTACAACTTATCGAAATCCGTATCATGTCACATTGATTCGCTCAATCAGCGTTTCAACCGTGGAAAGACGTCAGTTAAACAGCTTGTAATCAATGTCATCGTCATATTTACCTCAGAAAACCCACATAAACTCGTTAGTCAGCTAGAAAAAATAACTCCAGAGAGGAGCATTTTGCTAAATATATACACCATATTACATATGCATTAAAATCTTAAAGTTCTTCAATATTTAATGCATATTTGAATAAATCTGGCAAGTTTTTATGACAGCCACCATTTAAATGTTTATATTTCATATAATCTTCTTATTATAAAAATAAATAAAAGTGTAATTTAAGTGTTTTATAGCTACAAAACAGTTCATTATTACCTTCATATTAGGCTAATGAAGTCTATAGGCTAAAACTAGACTCCCATAGTTTACAGCATTAGTTCAGAGATTTGATTTCCTTGAGAAAATTTGCCATTTATTGTAACTGATATCCAAAATAATCAATATCGAATCAAATTGTGAAATTTGTGTCAATACCCAGCCCTAGTAAGTAATGTGAAATATTAATAAACTGTAATTTATTCAAAGCTGGATTATCAGCATCATCACTCTAGTCTTCAGAGTCACATGATCCTTCAGAAATCACTTTAATATGATAAGTTGATTAGTTATTATTTGTGATAATGCGCTCAATTATTAATAATTATCAACAATGTGAACCTTATGGAACGTGAGAATGATACTTTATATTTTGAAGCCCAAAAAAGTGCATTAATCATAACAGTAATCTAACACACAGCTCCTGGTGGTTTTTGTAAGAAAAATATCCATATTTCTAACTTTATAAACTCTAATCACTGGCTTCCGGTAACGGCCGAGTCGAGTTTCTAACCCTTCAATTCAGTTTCTGTCTGATTTGAATGGTGTCTTATTTCTCACTGACCCATGAAACAGAAGAGGAGAGTGCTTTGCATCTGTGGTTTGCAAGCATGCGCTGATTTGTGTTGAAACTGTTGTGCATCCCGCAGGAGAAAGACGACCTGAAGAGAGCCGAGTGTATGTTGCAGCAGGCGGACAGGCTGGGCTGCAGACAGTTCGTCACGTCTACTGACGTCGTGTCTGGCAACCCTAAACTCAACTTGGCCTTCGTGGCCAATCTCTTCAACAAGTACCCGGCGCTGACCAAACCCGAGAACCAAGACATCAACTGGGGCCTTCTGGAGGGTGGGTAATCTGCTGCTGATTGTTGCTCTTTCCTGTCTCCATTACCATTTTAGCATTCACTAAATACACGCGCCACGTAATGACTCATGAAAATGGCTGACACTGCCCCCAAACACTTGCTTCTAAAAATACACCCGATGGCATCACAAGTGGGACATTCAGGATTTTTAAAAAAAAATTTTGTGGAAACTGGTGAAGCGCGTCTGCCAGAGATTCAAAGGGAGGGACTGTTTGGCTCATTTCCTGAGGCTGGAAACAGTTTACGCCTGTTTGATGAAGACTGCGCCCTCTTGTGGTGGAAAACAGACCTAATCCTCAGGATCACAGACGAGGCTTAAAGGAGTAGTTCACTTTTTAAAAAAAAAACTTTTGCTGATAATTTACTCACCCCCATGTCATCAAAGATGTCCATGTCTTTCTTTCTTCAGTCGAAAAGAAATTAAGCTTTTTGATAAAAACATTCCAGGATTTTTCTCCATATAATGGACTTCAATGGGGTCCAAACGCTTCAAGGTCCAAATGAGAGTTTCAGTGCAGCTTCAAAGGGCTTTAAACGATTCCAGACAATGATTAAGGGTCTTATCAAGCGAAACGAGCGGTAATTTCAAAAATAAATAAAAAAATTTAAATTTTAAAAGCACAAATGGTCACCTTGCTCTGACTCTCCTGTTCGAATTAGTTCATTAGGTTCATTCTACGAATCTTTTTTCGAGTCATTTGGTTTATTTAACGAATGAAATGACTTGAAAAAAGATTTGTTCATTTTGATGAACGAGTTCGAACAGGAGGGTCACGAACGCGCATCACAGAACAGAGCAAGGTAACCATTTGAGCTTATAAAACTTAAACTTTGTTAATTATTTATTAAATGAGCGATCGTTTCGCTTGATAAGACCCTTATTCATCGTCTGGAATCGTTTAAAGCCCTTTGAACAGTTTGCACTGAAACTGTCTTTTGGACCTTGAACCGTTTGGTTCCCATTCAAGTCCATTATATGGAGAAAAATCCTAAAATGTTTTCATCAAAAACCTTAATTTCTTTTCGACTGAAGAAAAAAAGACGTGGACATCTTGAATAACATGGGGGTGAGTAAATTATCAGCAAAAGTTTTTTTTTTTTTTTTTTTTTAAGTGAACTAATCCTTTAATATAGTCCCAGACTAAAATGCATGTTTGAGCTGTTTTAACTGAAATCAAATTGCACTGACATATCTTCAAATATATATATATATATTTGTGCCATTGTTTCGTCTCACCAGTTTATTTTTTATAAGGCACATTCATAAGACACATAAATGATTTTAAATAAGGCTAAATCCTGGCTTAATCTAAGCCTTGTCTGTGAAACCGGGCCGTAGTATTACAAAAATCATCAAGCGTAACTAATGTGGTCCATATCATTTGAATGTATGGTCATTTATAAACAGATTATTAGTGGTATTTGCTTATAATTAACTTCATGCATACACTTAAGATCGTCAAGAAATATTGGGAACACTTCACAATAAGATTAAATATGTTAACATTATTTAACCACAATTATTAACTTGAAATGCATGCATGAAGCATTTATGAATCTCAGTTCATTTCAACTTTTACTAACACATTATTAAAATCAAAAGTTGCAGGCCAGGGTTCAGAAAGCAAAAGTCCTGCCGTATGTTTATTCCAGCCATGATTACTGTACATCACATTAGCAGATCCATGTGATTGGAACTAAATACTGAGGAGCACTTTTATTTTCTGAACCTCTGAAAAGTAGTATATGTTGTATATCCAACAGACATGAGCTGAGATGAATTAACAATAAGCAGTTGTAATTGTATAAACGTTATACATTAACTAATGTTATATAATGGATTGTGGTTTTGAATAATCTTGTTATAGTGTTGCTGAAATGGACTAAAAATGTGGTTTGTAATTGTTGTGTTTGTGAGCCGTGATTAACTCCTGATTTTGATTGGTTCCTGCAGGAGAGACCAGAGAGGAGAGGACTTTCAGAAACTGGATGAATTCTCTGGGCGTCAACCCTCATGTCAATCACTTATACGGGTAAATCACAAATGTGAAATGAAATTCGATTTTTCTCATTTATTGGATGTGTATTTCACTTAATTCTCAAGACTTTATGGGATGAGTGATCATTTATATCGTTTATATAATGTTACACTTTCTTTTCATGCCTTCTCAGTGACCTTCAGGACGCTCTGGTCATCCTGCAACTCTATGAGAAGATCAAGGTTCCTGTCGACTGGAACAGCAAAGTCAACAAGCCTCCATATCCCAAACTAGGAGCCAACATGAAGAAGGTATTATTTCCTCTTCCTCTGAGGAAGTCAGCCCATCCAAACCTGCACAATCAGGGACAGGTTTCTGATTGGATAAAGAGCTGTTTCAGTCTTTACATCTGTGTGTGTGTGTGTTTAGCTGGAGAACTGTAACTACGCTGTGGAACTGGGGAAGACCAAAGCCAATTTCTCACTGGTGGGCATCGGGGGACAGGACTTGAATGATGGGAACCCGACTCTCACTCTCGCCCTGGTCTGGCAGCTCATGAGGAGGTAAAACGTGGATTGATGTGTCCTATACGCAAAAAAAGATACATTCACAGTGTTATTGCTAAACAAATAGAAAGTCCAATGTAGTAAAGCATGTACAGTATAGTAAATCCTGCATTGTGGATATCCATATGTAATGATGTCATTCAAGTCTATTTATCAACTGTTTTCAACATTGATATTTATTATGAATGTTTTTTTTTTGCACACATTCATCATATTAGAGTCATTTCTGAAATATTATGTGACTCTGAAGACTGGAGTAATGATGCTGAAAATCCAGCTTTGATCACACGAATAAATTGCATTTTAATATATATTCACATAGAAAACAGTTAATTTAAACTGTAATAATATTTCACAATATTACTGTTTGCTGTATTTTTGACCAAATAAATGTAGCCTTGGTGAGCAGAAGTCTTGTTTCAAAAATATAATAAAGAAACGTTTGATCAGTAGTTTATGAGACTGAAAATGATCAATGAATGCGAAAAATTATTTTAACTATAATACGGTCTTGATGCCTAATGCATTAACTAATGTTAACAAATTTAACCTTATTGTAAATCTATTGTGCAAATACTGTTAAATTAATATTTGATTTAAAAACAAACACACCAGCATTAATATTTAAAAATGAATTTTACAATAAACACCTAAAAGTCTATGAACAAAGCAAATTTTATTTGCTTATTAAAGCATGTATATGTGTATAAAGCTTAAAGGAGTAGCTCTCTTTTAAAAAACTTTTGCTGATGATTTATTCACCCCCATGTCAACCAAGATGTCCATGTATTTCTTTCTTCAGTCGAAAAGAAATTAAGGTTTTTTCTCCATATAATGGACTTCAATGGGAACCAAACGGTTCAAGGTCCAAAAGACAGTTTCAGTGCTGCTTCAAAGGGCTTTAAACGACAACAGACGATGAATAAGGGTCTTATCAAGCGAAACGATCGCTCATTTCAAAAATAAATAACAAAGTTTAAGTTTTATAAGCTCAAATGCTCGCCTTGCTCTGTTCTGTGATGAGCGTTCGTGACTCTCCTGTTCAAACTCGTTCATCAAAATGAATGAATCTTTTTTCGAGTCATTTGGTTCTTTCAATAAATCTTTTTTTGAATCTTTTTTGATTTCAAAACGAAAGAAATGAACAAAATGACTCGGAAAAAAGATTTGTTCATTTTGATGAATGAGTTTGAACAGGAGAGTCACGAACGTGCATCACAGAACAGAGCAAGGCGAGCATTTGAGCTTATAAAACGTAATTTTTTATTTTTTTTTATGAGCGATCGTTTCACTTGATAAGACCCTTATTCATCGTCTGGAATCGTTTAAAGCCCTTTGAACAGTTTGCACTGAAACTCTCATTTGACCCATTGAAGTCCATTATATGGATCAAATCCTGGAATGTTTTCATCAAAAACCTTAATTTCTTTTCGACTGAAGAAACAAAGACATGGACATCTTGGATGACATGGGGGTGAGTAAATGATCAACAAGTTTTTTTTTTAAAGAGAACTACTCCTTTAAGTAGTCTGGAGGAAATGTGATGTTGATGAGTGTTTGTGGTGTTCTCTTCCAGATACACTCTGAATGTACTGGAGAACCTGGGCGACGGGCAGAAGGTCAACGATGAAATCATCGTCAACTGGGTTAACAAGACTTTGTCGCAGGCGGGAAAACCAACCAAAATAATGAGTTTCAAGGTGCACAACCCTTCATTTATCCAACTAACACACACACACACACACACATATATATATATATATATATATATGAAGAGTTCAGATGCAAAAGCCTCTAAGTGCCATTTGAAATTTTCTTCTAGAATGATCATTTTTATCAAGCTTGTATATTTAAGTTCAGTAATTTCACTTAAATGGCAATGATAATTACCTATTAATTGTTATTTAAGTGAAATTACTGAACTTAAATATACAAGTTTGATAAAAATCATCATTAAAGAAGAAAATTTCAAATGGCACTTAGAGGCTTTTGCATCTGAACTCTTCATATATACACTGTATATTTCATGTAGCAGCCAGTATTCATGTTCCCACACGTATGTGTGTGTGTTGAATATCAGAAGTAAGTGTTGTGTTCTGAACTACAGGATAAAGAGATCAGCTCGAGTCTGGCGGTCTTGGACCTGATTGATGCCATCCAGCCCGGCTGCGTCAACTACGACCTTGTGAAGAGAGGAAGTCTTACCGAAGAAGACAAACTGGACAATGCAAAGTAAGATTTCAAAAGGGTGTTCATTAGATACGTGCATCAGGCATTAAAGGTAGTGTAGCCAATTTCAGAGAGGCTAGCATTAGCAAGCTAGTTTTGAAAGCATAAGATCCCATGATTCAAGGCACATTAAATTACAATAATAACCAGAACCACCTGACTACTGCAGATTAATTAGTCAAAGAACCTGAACAGCTCCAAGTACGAATGTCACATGTTGCCATCTCGTAGTTACTGTAATCAAGACATGTGAATGCTCATTGTTTTGGTTTAGCTGGAACTGTAAAAGGCAACTGCTGTTTGTTGGTGGCTCTCGGTGACTGACTTCTGTCCGTCTCTGCATAGCTTTACAGAAAGAGCTGTAAATACATATGTTGACAGGCAGGGAGGACATCCTATCATTGCACTCGGACCTAACGCAAACATTTTTTTGGTCGTCAGACTTCCACGGAAGAAATATTTACATTTTTAATATTTAGATCACTTCTATCATTTATTACTATTCAGATGTTTAAGAGAGTTTCAACCAGAATAAAAAAATAAAAAAAAAACATTAAAGGCGCAGTATGTAGAGTTCAGAAACCCTTGTTATTAGCGACACCGGTGGCCGTTAAGTGAACTGCAGCAGAACTTATTTCTCACACTCATGTGAGAGCCTGAACGTGATTTAAAAACCCCATATACTCAAGGTTTTTTTTCCATTCTTTGCTTACAAGTCGAAAGAAGTTCGAAATACCTTTGCAGTAGGGTTGTGCCGATAGACGATAGTATCGTGTATCGACGATAGTCTGACATATCGCCGATGGCAGATGCCTTTGACGATATCAATACGATAATTGGCTCGTTTTACCATAATGTATTAAATTATTATTATTAGGCCTATTATTATTATTATAAAGCTAGTATTGTTATTAAATGAATATTAGGAACTACAATTAATTTGCCTTGCCTAAATTTACAACGACATCACCTCATAACAATTGCAACAACAGCACGCACTAATGAGGACTCCTCTAAGAGAATGTTTTTAAAACAGACTAAAAAACATCCCACATCAAAATTCAATCGCAAGGTGATCCATTCACAAATTATCAAGTGTGCTCGTTTTAACAGACGCAAAATTCAATTTCCTACAGATCCAAGATGAAAACGGCATCGTTGTTCGTCAGTATTTGTTTCTGTAACACATTAACAAAACGTTTAATGACACTAACACTAAAAACAATACAATTACTAAATAGTATTAATAATAATATCACTAAAATAGTATTATAGTTACCGTTATCATCGTCGTCTCTGAGGGAACGCGGCGTTAATGCAGATGCCGAAAGCAGTCCGTTTTTACTTTCACTTTCAGAGATAGAGCGCGTTTACATGCGACGACGTTCTTAACCTGATTGTGTTGAATAAACTTGACAATGCATGTGGTCATGTAAACGATTCCTTTATCAGAGTCAAGTCATAAATATAAGTATAAACCGATCGACTCAGCTAGACATTTGGCCCTTGCTCTTGTTTCTATCGGCATTTAAAACACATTAACCCGCGTAGCCTACTTCGTGCTTACTGAAGTGCGCATGTGAAGTGCGCAGAGAGCGCACTGGTAGGGGAGCACATATCGCAAACTCCGACTCTTTCTGACCCAAGAAATTATTAAAACGTGTTTTCATCTCGTGCAGAAATAGACCAAAATGCTGCATGTAATGGCATGAGAATAGGCTAATGTGTCCGTAAATTTCCCGTTGACAAACAAAAGGATTAGGATCTCTTTTTTTTACTTCACTATACCAGGAAATAACCTCATCCTATTAATAAACACTCCACCTTTGCTAGCAAAATAGAAAAAAGATTCTCGTATATAAAACGAAGTAGGCTAATAAAACAAGCAAATTAATGAGTAGGCTAAATAATCAAGTTAATAATCAAGTTAGCCCCGCCCCCTCACGATAATATCGTGTATCGCCGATCTCACAGGCTGACGATAGGACGATATGAAAATGGAGCATATCGCCCAACACTACTTTGCAGCGTAAAACTGTTGACATCCCGACACCGTCCACGATGCAGAGAGCGACGTTTAGAAGGATATGTAAATATGTGCTGAGTGCTTTCCTCTCAATAACAAAATAAACACTACAGAAATGACAGACAAGAAAGCAGCAGTTCAGAAAGCATCTGATCGGAGAGCTGTGGATGTGTTTGCTTTAGCTCTGAGATTCACCTGAGGGCATTCAAATAAGTAATAGTTTGATTATAACGTATATTTGAGACTATAGACTATATAGATCTGGTTATGTGAGGCTGTAGTTTGAATGAATCTTTTTTCTTTCCATGGCACATTGACACAACAGTACAGAATGGCTCTTTCAGCATTGTCCTGAACATTGTATAAGCATTCGTTTCAATGCTTTCTCACGACCAATTCGTACGATTTGTCTAAACCCTAGGTTTAGGGGCGGGGTCAGGGGTATGTCATTCGTACGAATTTATACGAATTGGGCAACTTGTAAAATATGTACGTTTCAGCAAAAATCGTACGAGTGAAGTCGTACGAATTGTTCCGAATTCGAAAAATTCGTAAAATTTGTACGAATTGCCGTGAGATCGGGTTGGTGTCTCTGAACGGAGAGAGGCTCTCAGGAGTGTGTAAACATCACATACTTTTCATTTTACCAGCAAAACCATCCTGAGTCTTTCACTTAAAAATCAGTCTACAGACAACCTAGGAAGTCAGGGAATGTATTAAAAAAAAATAACAATTATAAATTAGTTTAGTTACAAGCTGTTCACACATTGGCAATAAAAAAGCGATTAATATATGAAAAGTTACTCGAATACTGGTGTAAATGTATGAAGAAAAGTATATACAGGTTAAGCTCGAAAAATTAGAATATCGTGCAAAAGTTCATTTATTTCAGTAATTCAACTTAAAAGGTAAAACTAATGTGTTTCAGGGTTACCACAGGTCCTTGAAATCCTTGAAAGTTACTGAATCTAAAAAAAAAAAAAAAATTCAAGGCCCTGGAAAGTTTTTGAAAACAAACATAATAGTTACAAGTCTTTGAAAGTGCTTGAATTTATTTTTTGCAAGAAGTTTTCTGGAAAAAATTCCATATTATTCCCTCCAGTCCGCTGTGTTATTTCGCCAACACTTCGTGTCCTATGCACACTAGCTTGCTTGATTTACGTTAGTTACGGGCATTTACGTGTTACGTTAAAGGAGTAGTTCACTTTAAAATGAAAGTAAGCCCATAATTTACTCCCCCCTCAAGCCATCCTAGCCTTTATATAGGGATCTATACAGTTGATTACAGGACATTACAAAAAAAACGCCAAAAAATACGCCTCCAATAGCACTTTTCTCACTTCAAAAAGTGGATTTTAAAGGCCTCCACTCTATTTTAATGTGAAATATTGGATTTATTCAGAAAAAAAAATGTTCTAATGGAAAAAATGGCTAATAAATAATATATAAATATTGCATAGTATCAAAATCCCTTCAAAATTCTGAATAATATAATCAAAATAATATTATTGAACAAAAATATAATACATTGGTTTTCCTGGAAAAAAAAGAAGCCTACATTTCAAGGCTTCGGTCAATAACCAGAGTGTGACCCCTAACAGTATTTGACCCTGGAAAGTCCTTGAAAGGTCCTTGAATTTCAGAATAAACAAGGTGTGGGAACTCATTACATGCAAAGTCAGATATTTTAAGCCTTTATTTGTTGTAATTTTGATGGTTATGGCTTACAGTTTAAGAAAACCCCAAATAATTAGAATATTGTGAAAAGTTTTTCATAGCCATAATCATCAAAATGATAACAAATAAAGCCTTGAAATATCTCACTTTGCATGAATGAGTCTATTTAATATATTAGTTTCACCTTTTAAGTTAAATTACTGAAATAAATGAACTTTTGCACGATATTCAAATGTTTTGAGTTTTGTGGGAACTATGATTCAGGGATATTATAAATGACACCCCATGAAGAAGTCTTTAGGTGTGTGTCATGTATATTGAGGTTCTGTGTGTGTGTGTGTCTCTTGCAGGTTTGCTGTGTCCATGGCCAGGAAGATCGGGGCTCGCGTCTACGCTCTGCCTGATGATCTAGTGGAGGTCAAACCCAAGATGGTCATGACCGTGTTCGCGTGTCTAATGGGCCGAGGGATGAAGAGGGCGTAACGCGGGACCCTGCGGACAATCAAGCGCTGATGTCCTACCCAAAAGCCATTTTGCTGGTTGAAAGGCTTCTGGTTCAGTAAATTTATTACAACCACACTAAAAATGGCAACAGATGTTAAAGAATCATGCTTAGGTTTGGCAGGACTACAAAGTTGAAATGGGTTTATGGAAAGGGAGGGTCAGTTCTTTTTAGACCAAAACAATTACGATTTCATCCGCGAAAGGGACAAAATAATACCAAATTTTATCGTCAGTGAAACGGAAGATGACTAAAGCGTTGGATCTAAACCATGTCGGACTCTGCTTTGCAATACTCTATTTACATAATCGATAAAGGAAGAATGTACGAGTGCTAGCTGTAGGTCTCAATTGGACAGCTTTGGACGTTTAGAGTCACGACTGGCCTTACTAGACGCAGTATTGCCTCTATGCAGAGCATGATTGTGTTTGAACCATTGAATTGGACCGCTTATTTTCCTTATGTTTTACACACGTTACGGAATTTGCCAGCAACTTTCCTGTGAGACACTTTAACGCATTCCATAGTTGTGTACTACTTGTCTTATGTATATGTATACTCAAAATGGCTTTTTACATTCAAGATACACCCAAACAGAACGAACTATGCATGATCTATCTATATTTTTTATTTAAAACAATACACTCCTCAGAAAATGTCTTTAAAAGCTTTAAGCATTAACCAATCCATGCTGTACGTTGTAAGATGACGAATGAACGCTGTCGCAGAGGAAGGTCATCCGTCGGTTGATGTCGAAGGACTGTTTCCGGGAATGAAACTGGAAGTGTCTGGTCATACGGCAGCATGTTATCTGTGGACCGAAGCAGCTGACACCAAATGTCTGTAACTGAAAAACATCATTAAAATAAAGCAGAAAATGCAACTGTGCATAGCATTACTCTTCTGTATTCATTCCTTTTCTTTTGTCCATGAGCAGTGTTTCGTGCTCTACATGTTGATGTGAAGCTTGTGAGCACGGTCACATTGAAGATCGCTTTATTTGATTGACATTTTAGCCTATTAAAAAAGTAAAGTTATGATGTCAAATTAAACATTTTACAACTCTTCACGATTTTTATCTCCTATAGGGGTTTTTAAAAAGTCTTCATTAAAGCGTTACAGGCCATGAACAAAACCAAACAGCTGCGAGAAGCATAACATTACAATCTTTGATTTGAAGCAAGAAAGTATTTAAGAGATACCAGGATGTGCGTTTAACGGCTTAACGGAAAGTGCTACAATCCCATGAGGCATTGCGAACAACAGGATCGAGTTAAAAATGATGGAGAGATATAAAACTACTCACTTAAAAATGTTGATTATATAAACTAAGCAATATATTTAAAATGTATTGAAAAATTTGCACATACTGTATAGACAAATATTTAAGTATTATGAGAGCGAAATTTATGTCACTCGCAGTTCTTCATGTGAGTGGGCGGAGCTAAATCTCTATTTTGGCGCGTTTTGATTGGGGCAACTCTCTGATTGGTGGAATTTGCTGTACAAAATCATGGGGAATGTAGTTTTTACCACAAATTCTGCTGTTAAACCTGATTATTTTAAAAATTAAGTTGAAACACTGCAGTAGTTCACCATAGATCTGTAAAGTTTTTTTACTTCCAGAACCCAAATGTTACATTGTATTGCTAAGTTACTCATTACTTGAAAGGACGGACAAAAGTTAAGACTTTTACTTTTGTAAAACATTCTTTACCTTCATAGGAACCCAATAGGGCCAAATGTCTCCTGAAGTAAAGGGGCATTTTGATTTTATCAGTGTGAATTGTTTTCCCGATTCATAATAATGCTATTATGATGACGAGGATTGCTTCTTATCAACACAAACCTCTTTACTCTCGCGTTCTCTCTAAATGACGCATATAAAATAAATTGGATTGGTTTAAACCAATAACCATGTGATGTCCATCCCAATGGACACAGCAGGTTCTGAAGGGGATAGAGGACTGTTAGGTCTGGGAATGACTACACTAATATTCTAGCTCCAAGATGTACATATAGTGTGAAAAGTGTAAAGTGGAGGGATGTCAAGAATGAGGTTAGGATCAGGCCTGTGAAGAGGTGGAGGTGGAGGTGGGCCTGCAAACCAAAATAGAGCTGGAGCTGGTTGCCCTTTTTGAGCCCATACAACTTTTCCCAATAATGGGTTAACCCAAGTGATAACTACATGATTGAACAAGGTAGGCAAGGTGTTCACCCATTCTGAAACCATATACTGATTGTGCACTACCTAGGAACCATGTATTTTGCCTATATGGGGCTGATTGTGTTTGCCCATATCAAACCTATTCATTAAACCCAACTAGACCCCATTTGTGTTGCCCATTCACTTATTTTCCATTAATCACCCAACTTGTACCCACATAGGGAGCCCACATGGGTTTGCCCATGTGAGAACAACATGGTTGACCCAAATAGGCCATTTTGGGCCAATGCCCACTTGGTACCCATTTAGCCCTAAAATAACCCACATACAGTATGTTGGCTGGGAAGAAAGAGAGTTCAGGGATGGCTTTAGTGGGCCTGATAGGGGCACAGAGAGTTCATGTGTGGCCATAATGAAGCTAACGGAGGGCACAAAGGGTTCAGAGATGGCCATGACCAGAAGCATGGGGAATTCAGGGTTGGTATCTGTAGGTGTCTTTCCATTACAGAATTAAGCAAAACTTTTGCGATATTTTCTAAATGTTGATAAAAAAATCTATTGTGAAATGACGGCGTTTCCATTAACCGATGTTATGCGACTAAAACGTCTTTTTTCCTCTTGCGATAAGTCATTCCAAAAATCATGGCCAAGGACATGGGTAAGCTATATCACAGCCACCGCACTAGACATTATTATTATTAATGGAAGGAGACGTGGTGTGTTATCCAAGCATTAATGCCAGGGAAAGACACGGAGTTCCTGGGTGTTTCTCCCTTACAGTATTTCTGCTTTGAGGTCTTGATTGTGGAATTTCTTTGAGGTTTAGGCTATTCCTGTAATTATTGTTTGTTTTATGAATTGAATAAAGAACTCTGTCTCGTATTATGTCCAAACGGTCAGTGTACTTGCATTAGTTTTCCCTTATTTAACCTGTAACTGCAAAACGAAAAATGAACGTTTGTTGTGTTTTTAAAACGCAAAGTTGAACACCAACATTTTAGTTTGACCTGTACACCAAATGCTGCGCAAAAACAAAAATACATATATATATATATATATATATATATATATAGAATATATAGAAATATATATATTTTGACGAATTTTCAGATATTTGTTTGACTTTTTGCCCCTTTATTAAAAAAATTAAAATATTCACAAATTAATATGGAAAATAATTGAGATTTTACTGGTTTTCTGAGGCCAAATTAGAAACTGGAAATTATATTTTCACCGCAGTGCTGAATGAGAAGAGCCGTAACCACAGCCTACAGAAAGGGGATTTATAGGCTATAATAAATGTGTCTGAAAAATAACAAGGCATTTTAATTGATTATTAAATTGATTAACTATTGTTTTCCTGTTGATTAAAAACTATTGATTAACTATTACATAATCAGAAGGTATTAGATTTCGATCAGACCGAAGCGCCCGCGCTCTCAGATCACTTGGACGTGGCTGTGGTTACACGAGGTAAAAACGATATAAATACTGTTCGTTTTCTCACACAAACCGCTCGTTTCGTGTCTTAGGCCATCAATGTGTACTTGCATCTACGAGTCATTAAATCATGTTTAATTTGGACTTCTCTGTGCATGCTCTTTGAGGTGGTGACCATAGACCTCCATTATATGACTGACAGACAAGAACGGTTTGACCTAAAAAGTGAACTATCCCTATATAATAAATAAATATACAATAGATACATGTCCTGAAACCCTAACTTCTTAATCATTGCCCTGATGGTCAAAATGGAGATTTTCAATGCTATTTTCTTACAGTCACTTTCTATTTTGTGAAGCTCAACAATCTTTTGCTGCACATCTAAACTATAATTATTGGTTTAACTCGTTGTGTTGATGATTAAGGGAATTTGGCCTTTGTGTTTCCTCATATTTATACTCCAGTGAATCAAGAAGTCATAGCTGGACAATTTCATGTTCCTACTCACCCTGGTGTGCTAAAAAAAAAAAAAAAAAAAAAAAAAAGGTTAAACCAAAGGTATTAATGGTATTGGGCATATACTTTAGAGATATTTTACTCATAAAACTGTGGTCAACGTGTTTTGGAGAAAAACATTCATGCTATTTCATAATGTGATTTCCCCCGCACTTTCAATTCATTTACTTTTTAATGAAAGATCAAAAGGATAAACAATGCAGATTTATTTTTTACAGCCATTGTTGATCATATTTATCAGGGGTGCCATTAATTCTAACCACAACTGTATGTGTACGGACAAAGTATTTGAGTCTATATATTTCTGTCATCATTTCTCTAGTGTAGAGGATCAATCAGACAGCAGCGTTAAAACCATTGATGACATGGTTGAGAAATCCAGTGCTTGTGTGTGTGTTCAAGTGATCGCCAGAGCAAAGGCTGAGCATCAAAAACACAACGCTGCAATCAGTGCACTTCAAACGCACAAGCATCTGCTGGAATAACAATAAGCCTCTCTGCTCTCACAAAACCACAGGACAACCTTTGAATCTCACAACTGCGCTGGACATACAAACAGATCAGAGCTTAGAGAAACACAGGACGGAGGAAAGGACATTGAGATTGATGTTGCTCCGCTGTGAGGAGGCGGTGGAGAGGTGTGTGATGTCTGGAGAGCTGTATGGTAATGTGTCCCACGTCCCCCTCCCTGCCTCCAGACACTCAACTGCCCTCTCAGCCTCATCTCAATCACAACACAGCCCTTCACTTCAGATTTCTCTGGAACAAACGCAGCAGATCCATGAAGCAGACCGATAAACATCAGAGGAAGACGCTTCGGGACTTCGCAGAGGAAGGATGTTTCAACACTTCAGATGCACGTTCTTCAAAGTTATGGAGCATTAATACAAAGCATCTCTTCAATAACCTGAAACATAACCAATAACCACACAGGTGAGTGAATAAACACAACACTTCTGTTCCTTAATCACAAATGAACTGTGATATGCTATTACATGGTCATATTCTAAGTAAGAGTGTGAATTTATCATTTAAATAATATGTGGAAATATTACCTTGATCTTGATGAGTTCCTGGAAAAGCGTTCAGTGCTAGTCACAGCAATGGCTTCAAACGCAGTCATAATTGATCTTTATTAGTCATCTCAGTGTTTTTAAAAGCTGCAAACAGCTCAACAGTTTTAACCATTTTCTATTCAGTCTCTAAATTGTGGTCAAAAGTTTACATACATGTTTCAAAATCTGCTATGTTCATTATGTTGTTAAAATAATAACAAGATTAATCTTAAAAACATACAGTAACTGCTGGAAAGGGTTTCTGAACAATTTCAGAGCAACGTTGAACAACGTTGCTCAGCTTAACTGCTTGGGACAAACAAGGGACTCATTAAAGGAGTAGTTTACTTTTGAAAAAACTTTTGCTGATAATTTACTCACCCCCATGTCATCCAAGATGTCCATGTCTTTCTTTCTTCAGTCGAAAAGAATTTTGATGAAAACATTCCAGGATTTTTCTCCATATAATGGACTTTAATGGGAACCAAACGGTTCAAGGTCCAAAAGACACTTTCAGTACAAACTGTTCAAAGGGCTTTAAACGATTCCAGACGAAGAATAAGGGTCTTATCAAGCGAAACAATCACTCATTTAAAAAAATAAATAACAAAGTTTAAGTTTTATAAGCTCAAATGCTCGCCTTGTTCTGTTCCGTGTGACTCTCCTGTTCGAACTCGTTCATTAAAATGAATGAATCTTTTTCCGAGTCAATTCGTT